AATGTGCCGTTACCATCAGTGTTGCCAGGTTTGGAAAGAGGGATGATCGTACCGCGTCTTTAAAATTATCGTGAGGGATCGTACAGGGAGCAATGCCCCCACTAGGATCGTACCATCTGGCAACATTGCGGTTCCATTCGCGTAACATTCTACCCAACATCGGTCGTCAGCGCGTAGTGTGATCGTCGGGCGGAGTGGGGGGGACCCATTAAACGAGTAATTATTTTTGACGAAGCATAACTTAGCCGGTATTCGACTTAGAGACCCCGGACCAATGGGCATCTCAATTTTTTAGGCCCCAGATGAATTTTCAACATTAGGGAACCAAAGCCCCCACCCCCCACATTTTGAGTTGAGTGTAACTCGGCCGGAATTCAAGTTAAAGACCTCGGACCAAGGGGAACCCATTCTTATTATGAAGACTACCGTTTTCCACTTTAGGGAACGGGGGCACCTCCTCCCCCCTTTTGGATTTTGTTTTTTTGATGGATTTTGGTCCGGGAGGGTACCAACACCCACCTCGCCAAGGGGAAACTCGGGGTTTTGAGTTTTTGATAGGATTTATTGGGATCTTCTTAAATATTGTTTTTATTGATAAGGAAAGTGATAAGAATTTTATTTTCAAAATAATTTTTGCCCCTTAAATTTTTCAATTTTTTCTTTGCATTACTACTACATAATAATTGTTTTTAAAATCGTTTTAGGGCGTATCGACCTCCCCGTTTGGATCTTATTCGCGTTCCACGCTAAATTTGTAGTCGGCGCGCGTCCCTACTTTTTCAAAAACGAGTCCCGGGGAGGAGTGGCGTCGCTTAAACGAGAGTAGGTACCGATGGGGTATCGAGTGGGTACCGCTATATACAGGCATAAATACGTGCGTCTCGAGGTTCGATTTTTTTGCAAAACTCGCGTATTATACGTCCGATGGCGGCGGAGCCGGTCGTCCGCTCAAACGCCCTTTGACGGCCTTCCAAACGGCGTTCGCCTTTCGCGGGGACGGCGACGCGGTTTAAGAGTCATAGATTTGACTCGGATTTTTATCTCGGTAGGTGGCTAGGTAGGTTAGGCGATAGGACAGGTGACTCGAGGGTCGTGGTTTCGAACCCGGCCGCCGGCAAAACGATAATTTGCGGCGGTCGTGATAAATTATATATATTATATAAATTATTATTATTCGTTTGACGATATTTATTAGGCAAAAAAATAATTATAATTAACATTTAATTAATACTTGATTTTACCGACGCACCTACATGTTTCTTTTATAAATACATTCTAATATAACTAACCTACGTAGTACCAGTACGTGTAGTACCTACTTAATATATTACAGTTTTTACGTGATTCCGATTTGGTTAAATACTGCTACAGATTATAAATACTATATTAAAAATGTGGGTAAGTGGATGTCGCTCTGCTGTACAGTAGGTTACAAGTGGGTCACTGTATAATGGATGCTATTAAATTTGAATTCAATGATACAATATCATTGTATAAGAAAAACGATTCTGAGCGAAGACGGTATGTCCTTCTAGGTATAAGACATATATTATATACTTATCTATGGTATTAAAAAAAATTGACCTATAATAGGTACCTATAATAAATTCCAAATTAATCATATCACAATATCCATTGGGTACTTATCACGCGTTATACACCAACAACAAACCCTGATACTATCATAGATATATAATAGTACACTTTAGAAGTTTCAAGTAGGTACCCACGAATAATATTATATAATCACAACAAAATAACTAGGTTTTTTAATATGTAATTTCGTCCAAATTTGAACATAAAATTACAATAAAAAAAAACTGTGATTGTATATTTTTTAGATTTTTCGGTAAGAGAATTAACTATTTACGTGGAATCTTCTTTTAAATTTTCAATCCTTAGCTATAAAAATTGAACATTTTATAATTTATTAATTACGATGATTAATAATTTTCGAGATTTTGAAAAATTCTGTCAAAATTCGATGTTTAAATGCTTATAAAAAAAAATTGTGCCTATGTATTTTTAAAATTTTTCAACTGATATTGTAACAATATATCAGGAGCCTTGTATTAAATTTTTACACTTTTTAGCCCAACAGATAAAACTTAATTGATATTTATAGAAAAAAAAACTAAAGAAAATTGAAAGCAGTAAATGTCCGTAAATAGCTCAAAAAGAGTCAAAATATTTTCAAAATTGTATGGTGTATAGGAAATGCTAATATAAACATTCAGTGAAATTTTCATGTATCTACAGTTATTCGTTTTTGAATTACAACAAAATAAGGAAATCGCTACATGAGAAATCGAGTGAATATCCAATGTTGTAAAAATTTTAATTTCAAACGCTCATAAATATTTAATTTGACTTTCTTAAAGACATTTTTTTTTTTGATAAAGGTAGATAATCTTATAAGGAATCTTGTAATACATTTTCAAATCTTAGATTTAAAAAGAAAAATTTTTACGAATTCTTAACTCAAAATAATTTGCTAATTTTCGTGATTTTTCCATATTTTGTCAATTTTTGAACTTTAAATGATTATAAAAAAAATTGTGACTAAGAATTTTTAATATTTTTCATCTGCCTTTGAAGCAATATACTAGGAGCCTTCTATTAAATTTTCAAGCCTTCACAACCAACAAATAAAATTTTATTGATATTTTTAGAAAAAAAACTAAAAAAAGATGGAAAATGAAAATGTCCCTAAACAGTTCAAAATAAATCAAAATATTTTGAAAATGTTATTGTGTATAGAAAATGCAAATATAAACAACCAGTGAAAATTTCATGTATATACGTTCATTTCTTTTAGAGTTACACCAATAACCAAAATCGATTTTTTGGAAAACCAATTTTGCGTAAAAATTCCCGTTTTTCCTTAATTTTTATGTTGTTTTTCCCGGCGCTTGTGAAAACTACTGGGAAATTTTTACTTTTAACCCCCCATAGTACCAACTAGATTCACTTTCCTATCAGAAAAGCTACTGTTGAAGAAAATCCAAGCACTTTTACTGTCCTAAAACGTGATGAGAGACACAAAAAAAAAAAAAAAAAAAAAAATAAAAAACACACATCATTGTAAAATCAATACATTCATCGTTTCACTCAGAATCTAAAAATAGTACGACTATATGACTGCTCCATTTTCCGTTTTTTTCGGAAATTCGAGTTTTTTTTGAGCCCCTTTCGGTCGTATAACCCTCCCGACGACTTATTCGCGTTCCCCGCTAAAAAAATGAGTCCCGTGGCGGAGCGGGGTCGCGGAAAGCGGACGTCCCGCGGCTCCCCCGTCGAGTAGGTATCACTATATACAGGCATATAAACGTGCGTCGGGAGGTTCGATTTTTTTCGCGAAATCGACGTCCGAGGGCTCAGATCGCCAGCTACGACGCGCGAAGTAAACGTCGAAATCGCGTTCGGAATTCACCGGGACGCTGAAACGGTTTGTTACCTCCTGTATGCTTTTTCAGATTTGAACGGCCGTTTCGAGCACTTTTCGCTGTAGGTGGATTGTCCGTTCGGGAATCGACTTTCGCCCGAGATGACTGATAGCTAGACACTCAAACTCAGAACCCGAATTTCCGATTTCAACACACATACGAGAACCGGACATACACGCCCGGGGCATGGTCTGCGATCCGACGTAGTCGGATTGCCTACCTGACTAGCTACTTGCATACGAGCGACTTACACCCCCACTGCATCTGACACTCGGGAATCGACTTTCATCCGAGATGACTGATAGCTAGACACTCAAACTCAGAACCCGAATTTCCGATTTCAACACACATACGAGAACCAGACATACACGCCCGGGGCATGGTCTGCGATCCGACGTAGTCGGATTGCCTACCTGGCTGGCTGTGTCGTACGATCGACTTGAATCGCGTGACTTACGACTAGACACTCTTCCGAGTTCAAAAATTACCGCTTAACCAGTGCTGCCAACACGACAAAACACAATACCCGACGACCCCGCGTTCCCGCCACAGGCCGGATCGAAAAACCCAGCCCGAGGCGAAACGACAAAGATGCACCACCGCCCACACAGTCTTTCCGCCGCAGGCGGGATGACAAACGCCAAAATCTAGATTGTTTATAAAATGTTATATGTATATAGTATGCACCTACACCTTACTACTTTTGATTATACTTATGCACTAATAAATAGAACCGAAGTACTCTATAGTATATTAGTATAGACTATGGACTATAGAGCATAGGGTGCCTCCGGATTTTTAGAAAATGTCCAAGGGTGCAGTGAGTCAAAAAAGGTTGGGAACCTCTGGGTTATAGGTTAAGTTAGATTATATAAGTACCTACGAAAACGTACAAGCAAAACCCCACCAAAATTTTTTTTTGTGTACGCGCCTGAATACTAGGAAAAGTGTCTTCGAGGACCCAATTAAACAGCTAGGTAAGATCATTATATGTGTACTTAAGCGTCGGCGATATTTCATTATTTTAATTTTCAAGCAAGATAATATGGGTGTGGGAAATATTACAAATGCATTCAAAAACTATCATAAGTCGCTTGAAAATTAAAATATTGAAAAATCACCGACGCCTAAGCACAGATAATGTTTTTACCTAAAGGTTTGAAAATAGGTAAATTCACACTAATATCAAATTAACAGCACACTATAAAAACTGTTGAATGACAATTTGCTGTCATTCGTGTGCAAGACGGAGACAACAAAAGCATGGACAACAAGTCCTTTTATACACTTTTCTTTGTACAAGTCATTGAATTTAAATATATTTTTATCTTAACACTATTATTAATTTAATTCATTGGAAAACGAAAAAAAAAAAAATAAAAATGAGAATTTTAATGCAAACGACTAACTTAAAGAAATGCATTTTAAAATTTTTAAAATAGGTACTGTGCAAAGGTAACAATTAATTCAAATATTTTACAGCTACTCCTTATTTTTATTTATAGAAATCCTGAAGCTGCTGGGCAGTACCCATATTCCACAGGTGAAAGCTTGATGAGACTGGCTAGGAGAAGTTCAATGCCAACACTGCCTTCTTCATTGGCCGGCTTGGCCAATGTGTTTGAATTGGGCAGTTTGAACCAATACTCCTGCTGTGGACAGTCATTGTTTCAGGGTTGTGTGCGCGATGTTGATGGGCGAGCAGCCATGATTTTTGCGTGCACTAACCTGATACAGTTGGTAGAAGATAATAATATAGAGGAGATTCACATAGATGCAACGTTCAAGGTAGTACCGTCGAATATGGGAAAGCAGATGTTAAGCATACACTGCATGATTGGAAACCATGTATGTTATTTTAAGATTAAGATCATATAACTTAATACTGAATTATTAATTTAATATTTTATTACCAAAATACACTAGCTAACTGCAAAGTGAAAACTAATTACAAATTTTACTAAATATTTTAGTTTAGTTTTATTGCTATTTAATAATAATACAATTTAATATTTTATGATTTTCTTTCCTGTCTAGTCCATACCCGTTGTGTATTGCCTAATGGAATCAAAGTCGAGGAACTCATACAACAGTGTTTTTAATTTTTTAAAATTAAACCTACTGACCAACATAAATCCTTCGATTATTATTACCGACTATGAGACGGCACTACGTGACACCCTAACATTTTTTTTCCCTAATGCACGTACTGTAGGCTGTTGGTTTCACCATAACCAAGTAAGTTAATAAATACAATTGAATTGGGAATTTTGAAAAGGCTCAAAAATTTAAATTTGTTAGGAAACAAAAAACTGATTTAAATTTAAATTTTGTTTTTAATTTTAGTATTTTTTTCTAAAATTACAGACTATTAGGTTAGTTATGTTATTTCCATGTAATGTAATATTCTTAATAGTAATATTCTTAAAGTGAAATTTGATTGGAAAAATGATTAATTAAGTTTTCCGAGATGTGTTCTTTTCGAATAAATATGATTTACTGATTTAAAATAGAAAACAGAAAACAGATATGCGCGCCCTTTTTGCTCATAAAATATCGGTCTATATGTGTAAATGAAAAAAACGTGGACAAATCTATTTTCATAAAAACTCAAGATGGACCCTTTTTGGAATTCCCAATTCAATTTTTATCCATACAATTAATTAAAACTACATTTACATTTTTTATTATGAACCTCATTTCTTTATAGGCAGTTTGGAAAAATATGAAAAAAAAGGGTTTTTAAATTTAACCAATTCCAATCAAAGTGCTTCTAAAGCATTGAGAATGCTGTTAGCTTTACCGCTGTTACCAGCTGCTGATATAGAACGAGGATTTGATGTTGTGAGGATATTTGCCATGAACCAAAATGTACCAATGGTTTCTTTATTTGATTACTATCAAAAGTAAGAATACATTACAAAATGTTTAAATTGTGTATTATTTATAAGAGCTTGAGCTTTAAGCTTTCTATCTTTCTTTTTATTTTTTTTATTTATTTAATTATAAAATGTTTTAGCACACAGGGTGCTATTACAAGTAATTATTTTTTAATATGAATTAGATTATACTAAGTACATGTACATGAGTTATTTACATTGATACAATTTAGTAAATTATAGTTATATATAGTGTGTTCTTCAATGGGTCTTCATCTTGCTATCCATTAGGAGAATGTCCTGGAAGAGTCAAGGTCGCAGATGTCTGTTTTGAAGTTTTCTTTAATTACATACATTTTTCTTTATTATTATTTTTTTTAATATAAATGTTTTTGGGGTGGGTATACATATTTTTTTTTCTAACGCTTGATTTATCACCATAGAAACGAATGAAATGTAAAAATTACCTAATTCCCGCTAGGTATATATAGAATTAATGGTTACGTATTAATACATATTTGTGAACAATTAAAAAAAACTAAAAACTAAGGATATGTTTTTTTTTATTATTTTTAGTTATTGGCTAAGACAGGTTGGGGTACATGCGTTATCAGTTAATTGCCTACCGAGGAGGACTAATAATTGTGTAGAAAGTTTCCACAACTCTTTACGTATTAAGTTTAACGTGGTTCATCCAAATTTGTGGAAATTTTTAGGTAAGTATATTTTTTATGATTCCATAATAATTAATAGAGTATAGATAATATTAGGTAGGTTAATCTTTAAAATTAATTTTAGATCACCTTACACAGCTGAGTAAAAATGTCCATATTACAATAACACAACTTGTGAATACCCTGCGCCCTACACGAAAACAACCAAACAATGTTCTAATGAATTTGAATAGGATTCAAAATTCAATTCATGAATATAGTCTGGGGCTTATAACCATGTGGCAGTTTCTTGACCGAGCTGCACATGCTACGTCAGCAATTGAACCACCACCAGCAGCAGCAGCAGCGGCAAGACCACCACCTGCAGCAGCAGGGGCTAGACCAGCACTTCCAGCAGAGGCAAGACCACCACTTCCAGCAGCGATACCACAGACACTACCCGTAACACCAACAGCAGCTACAAGACCAGCATCAATAAGAGGTCATCCTTATGAAGGTAATATGTTCCTTAACATTAACTAAAAATAAATGTTTGACTTATTTTATTTAATAGGAAACATTTTGAACAAGAGTACCTACTATTCTGATATATATTTGTATGAATACTTAAGTTCAAATAGTTTCATTATTATTTTATGTATCTGAGTTTACTTAATTTAGTAAACAACCATTAAATTTAGGTCGCAGACAAAGGTCATCAGATGCAGCTGCAGCCTGGGCCTGGTTTTTTGCAGAGGACCTAAATAGTAATACAATATTATTTAATTTAAATAAATAAAATTTATTACCTGTCACTTATAAGATTCTATCACTTATTATAATACCTTAGGGGGCTTACATCAGCGATCTAAGGAATGTAAAACAACATTCATTCAATATTTTATTTCTAATTTAACGACTAGTAATATATTATACTTCATATTTTTAGGAGTGGTGCCAGATGAGATCGAGGAGCCAGATGTGATCCAAGAGCCATATGAAATTCAGCATCATGAAAATGAAGAAAGTATGATAAATTAAATTAAGTTGTACCTTTAGAATTTTTTTTCAAAATATTTATTTTTCAGTCCTCGAGATATGCGTAATTTGCATGCAAAGGGTGAGCAATGTTACAACAATGCCTTGCCGGCATATGTTTGCAGAATATGTATAGAAATGTGGATGGATGAAGGGAATTCAGGGTGCCCTTTGTGTCGAACCTTCATCAATGGCTTGCAAAAGTATTATTATTTAACTGTTTATTTGTTATAATGATGTTTTTTAATTATTTTGTGTTTTTTCTTTTCAATAGTTAAACGTTTAACTCAAGATAAATTCAACTTGAAAATGTACCTACATTATTAAAAACATTTGTAAATACATTTACTGTCAATTAAATAAAATGACAATAGTACAATAAGGCATTAGCATTTTATTATTATTATTATTTTACTAATTAACAAAAATGAAAATATTCCTAATTTTTTTTTTTACACGTCTTGAAAAGTAGTTAAGTAGACCAATTATAATAAAAGTGTGAAGTAATTTGTTGGTATGATGCAAGATGTTTGTTTCTTATTTTTATAGGTACTTATTGTACCTTAAGTTGTTTAACAATTATTTTCAATGACAATTAATTATAATATTTCAGTTGGAACATAAATAATATTCAAATATTTACCGAACATAATTTACTAGTTTAGTCAAAGATACTTGTCCTCTGAGGTCTTAAGTTCACGAACATAAAACACGCCATAGCTCCGCCATAATATTGACTCTATCTTGCTAATCAACATTCTTCTTTATGTTAGCGACTTTGCAAGCAATACAGGCAATTCTGTATTTATGGACTATGGTAGTTTTATAATGAAGATAGTATTAATATGTGTGTAGCATTAAAATGAACAGACTGAATATTATTTAACTTTATTCGACGATTTAAGATATACCTTAATAGATATTATAAAAGATAACTTAAATCTAAAAAATACATGAATTAGTGAATTTCTTGATATTAATAAATATTATTAATATATTTTGTAGATATTTCTTTATCTGTAGTTAGAATCATGACAAAAAAAGGAAGGAAAGGAAGGAATGTGCGATCCAACATATATATAGATAACTTAAATTATGAGTATTACAGACATAACGAATCTGCAAACAGAAGGTTAAATTTAATCATAAAATATAAAATAACACATTGATATAATTTAAAGTGTGTAATTATTGATATATTATTTTTACCAGACAATTGAGATGCAGAAATTACTTAAATTCACAATGTCCAGGCAGATGTAGCACACGATTAGATAATAGTGACTTTAAAATGACTAGAGCTCATACATGTGTTCGGAGAATGGAAGAAAATCCTAATGAGAATACTATTGGAAACCGTAACA